AGTCCCGGTTCAGTCCCGGTTCAGTCCCGGTTTAGTCCTGGTTCAGTCCTGGTTGAGTTCTTACCCACGCAGACGTCTCCGAGTTGGTCTGGACTCAGGTTGAGGTCTGAGACGACGGCTTTCATGACGGCGCTGAGGAGCTCATCTGGAGTCGTGTCCTGGAACAAGACCAACAACTGAACCAGGACTGAACCAGGACTAAACCAGGTCTAAACCAGGTCTAAACCAGGTCTAAACCAGGATTAAACCAGGACTAAACCGGGACTAAACCAGGACTGAATCAGGACAAAACCAAGACTAAACAAAGTCTAAACCCGGGACTTAAACCGGGACTGAAACAGGACTAAACCATGTCTAAACTGGGACTAAACCAGGACTAAACCAGGACTAAACAAAGACTAAACCAGGACTAAACCGGGACTAAACCAGGACTAAACCAGGACTAAACCGGGACTAAACCGGGACTAAACCGGGACTAAACCGGGACTAAACCAGGACTAAACCATGTCTAAACCAGGACTAAACCGGGACTAAACTGGGAGTAAACCAGGTCTGAACCCGGTCCTGTCCCGGTCCTGTCCGGACCTTGAAGGAGCCTCTCTTGGCTTTCCCGATCGCGGTCCTTCGTCCGTGGACGATCACCACATCATCGGGACCGTCGCGTCCCGCGGCGCCGCACACGGAGCTCCTGAGGCCGGACACGTCTGCGGCGGGACCCGGGGACTGTCCCGGAGGACGGAGGTGTCCCGAGAGGACCTGGAGACGGTGCATGTCCCACGGAGACGCGGCGGGGACCAGGAGGACACAGGGACACAAGAGGACAGAGGACAGAGGGACCAGAACCGGGATCGAGGCGGAAGTGGACTTCGCTTTGTTTACATAAAGAGGACGGAGCCCGGGGAGGGACAAACGACAAACGCGAAACAAACTAAACCAGGTCTAAAAACACAGAAAAATGTTTCTGAGCTCGGGGTTTTAACAAGTGACTTTTATTAAAAAAAAAAAAAAAAGAAAGATCAGACCTGCACCTGACACACAGAGGGAGGGCACCTGACACACAGAGGGAGGGCACCTGACACACAGAGGGAGGGCACCTGACACACAGAGGGCACCTGACACACAGAGGGAGGGCACCTGACACACAGAGGGCACCTGACACACAGAGAGGCACCTGACACACAGAGGGCACCTGACACACAGAGAGGGCACCTGACACACAGAGGGCACCTGACACACAGAGAGAGGGCACCTGACACACAGAGGGAGGGCACCTGACACACAGAGGGCACCTGACACACAGAGGGACGGGGGGGAGGGCATCTGACACAAATCAAAGTCAGATTGAGTAAAATATGTTTTTTTATTAAACACAATTTAAGGCCACTTCATCAAACAAACAGACACGAGACTAAAGACCAACCAGGTCTAAACCAGGTCTAAACCAGGACTAAACCAGGTCTGAGCCAGGTCTAAACCAGGTCTAAACCGGGACTAAACCAGGTCTAAACCAGGTCTAAACCAGGTCTGAACCAGGTCTAAACCAGGTCTACACCAGGTCTGAACCAGGTCTAAACCGGGTCTAAACCAGGTCTAAACCAGGACTAAACCAGGTCTGAGCCAGGTCTAAACCGGGTCTAAACCGGGTCTAAACCGGGTCTAAACCAGGTCTAAACCAGGTCTAAACCAGGTCTAAACCAGGTCTGAACCAGGTCTAAACCGGGTCTAAACCAGGACTAAACCAGGTCTGAACCAGGTCTAAACCAGGTCTAAACCAGGTCTACACCAGGTCTAAACCTTGGCTCTGTTCTTGATGAAACCGAGCGCTGTTTTCTTCACAAACCCAGATTTTTACAAAAACATTTGAATGAATTTAAAATATATTTGAAAGGTTAATGACGTTACATTTATACAAAAAGTTTTAATTTTCTTCTTTTTTAAAGGAAAATTTTTACACAAATGAGTTCATTCTGTTCATGAGCTCACAGGATCCTCAAGGAACCAGCTCCAAACATCTCCTCAGTCTGACCCTCAAACATCTCCTCAGTCTGACCCTCAAACATCTCCTCAGTCTCACCCTCACAAACATCTCCTCAGTCTGACCCTCAAACATCTCCTCAGTCTGACCCTCACAAACATCTCCTCAGTCTGACCCTCACAAACATCTCCTCAGTCTGACCCTCACAAACATCTCCTCAGTCTGACCCTCACAAACATCTCCTCAGTCTGACCCTCAAACATCTCCTCAGTCTGACCCTCAAACATCTCCTCAGTCTGACCCTCACAAACATCTCCTCAGTCTGACCCTCACAAACATCTCCTCAGTCTGACCCTCAAACATCTCCTCAGTCTGACCCTCAAAACATCTCCTCAGTCTGACCCACAAACATCTCCTCAGTCTGACCCTCACAACATCTCCTCAGTCTGACCCTCACAAACATCTCCTCAGTCTGACCCTCAAAATCTCCTCAGTCTGACCCTCACAAACATCTCTCCTCAGTCTGACCCTCACAAACATCTCCTCAGTCTGACCCTCAAACATCTCCTCAGTCTGACCCTCAAACATCTCCTCAGTCTGACCCTCAAACATCTCCTCAGTCTGACCCTCAAACACCTCCTCAGTCTGACCCTCAAACATCTCCTCAGTCTGACCCTCAAACACCTCCTCAGTCTGACCCTCAAACATCTCCTCAGTCTGACCCTCACAAACATCTCCTCAGTCTGACCCTCACAAACATCTCCTCAGTCTGACCCTCAAACATCTCCTCAGTCTGACCCTCACAAACATCTCCTCAGTCTGACCCTCACAAACATCTCCTCAGTCTGACCCTCAAACATCTCCTCAGTCTGACCCTCACAAACATCTCCTCAGTCTGACCCTCAAACATCTCCTCAGTCTGACCCTCAAACATCTCCTCAGTCTGACCCTCACAAACATCTCCTCAGTCTGACCCTCAAACACCTCCTCAGTCTGACCCTCAAACATCTCCTCAGTCTGACCCTCACAAACATCTCCTCAGTCTGACCCTCAAACACCTCCTCAGTCTGACCCTCAAAACATCTCCTCAGTCTGACCCTCAAACACCTCCTCAGTCTGACCCTCAAACATCTCCTCAGTCTGACCCTCAAAGAAACGTGTGTCTGAGGTTAAAGAGAAGAGTTCAAAGAGGACCTCCTGCTGCTCCTGCTCCTCAGTGTGGAGTCCTCAGGACAATCTGTTTAGATAAGAGCAGAGGATGGAGCAGAGGAGCAAGAGAGGGTCAGAGGATGGTCTGATGGAGCAGAAGATGGTCAGAGGTGGGTCAGGCGTAGAAGATGAGCTCTGGGATCTGTCCTCCCTGGACGCCGGTTCCGTTGGTGGAGTCTGAGGAGCACTGGAACTGGAAGGTGACCCTCCCGCTCTGCACCTCGGTCATTCCCTCCTGCCCGAAGTAGCTGAGCTCGTTTCCGTCCAGGATGACGCTGGCCGTGTAGAAGGTGTCGGGTTCTATCTGCACCGGGTGCTCGAAGAACACGGGGAACGTGCTGGAGGAACCGTCGGAGAAGTATTTAATGAGGCGGTGGGCCATGGCCACGCCCTGCCTCTTCAGCTCGATGCGAGCGCTGTACTCGGCCGAGCCGCAGCTGGAGCCGTACAGACCGAAGCCGGCGATGAAGACGCGTTTATCTACGGCGAACTGGATGCTGTCGCAGCGCCCCCTGTACCTCCACTGGTTACTGCGGTAGGCGCACGACTGGAAGCGGTGGCAGCGCTGAGGCGCCAGGCCTTTGCGCGGTTTGGTGCAGAAGAGCAGCTCGGGTTTGTTGGCCGCCGTGTACCACAGGAAGATGTCGTTGGTCTCGGTGAGCGTGAGCACGCCGGACTGCGCCGCTCCGTTGGCGAAGTCCTCCAGGCCCATGGTGGGCACGCGGATCAGGTAGATGGCTTTGCCCAGGACCCGCCTCTTGTTCTCGATGGTGGGCTCCAGGTCGCGGCGGCCGCACTCGGCCTCGGCCCAGCTCAGCGCCGCCTCGAACACCACCATCTCTTTGGCGTTGAGCGTCTCCCGCTGCAGGATGCTCTCCAGCGTGACGGCGTCGATGTCGCAGAAGCCGTCGGAGCGCAGGGCGAGTTCGGCCTGAGCGTCGATCACCTCCCAGCAGCGCTCCGTCAGCTCGGGCTCCTCGAACAGGCAGCTCTGAGACAGGAGCACGCAGGCGTTCCTCGCGCTCAGGCTCGTCTCCAGGAACGTCACGCAGGCGCGAGCCAGGTGAGGCACGATGTACTTCTTCGCCGCGTACAGAGTCGCCAAAACTGTGTCGGCGCAAAGATCGATCTCATCACAGTAGATGTACCTGACGAGGAGGCAGGGGCAGAGGAGGCAGGGGCAGAGGAGACAGGGGCAGAGGAGACAGGGGCAGAGGAGGAGGAGACAGGGGCAGAGGAGACAGGGGCGGAGGAGGAGACAGGGGCAGAGGAGACAGGGGCGCAGGAGGAGACAGGGGCAGAGGAGACAGGGTCAGAGGAGACAGGGAGAGACAGGGGCAGAGGAGACAGGGGCAGAGGAGACAGGGGTCAGAGGAGACAGGGGCAGAGGAGACAGGGGCAGAGGAGACAGAGGAGACAGGGTCAGAGGAGACAGGGTCAGAGGAGACAGGGGCAGGAGGAGACAGAGGGCAGAGGAGACAGGGTCAGAGGAGACAGGGGCAGAGGAGACAGGGTCAGAGGAGACAGGGGCAGAGGAGACAGGGGCGCAGGAGGAGGAGACAGGGGCAGAGGGAGACAGGGCAGAGGAGACAGGGGACAGGGTCAGAGGGTCAGAGGAGACAGGGGCAGAGGAGACAGGGTCAGAGGAGACAGGGGCAGAGGAGACAGGGGCAGAGGAGACAGGGCAGAGGAGACAGGGGCAGAGGAGAGGAGACAGGGGCAGAGGAGACAGGGGCGGAGGAGGAGACAGGGGCAGAGGAGGAGGAGACAGGGTCAGAGGAGACAGGGGCAGAGGAGACAGGGGCGCAGGAGGAGGAGACAGGGGCACAGGAGACAGAGGAGACAGGGGCAGAGGAGACAGGGGCAGATGAAAAATCAGTCAAAAACACTTTTGAGTGGAACATGTATTTAGATTTGTTAGAGATTTGGCCGATACTGATATTTCTAAAATCCACAGTGAGTCTAAACTTCACCTTCAGTGAGTTTATGATCTTTGGTAAAATAAAAATAAAACATATTTACTGTATTTATTGTTTATATTATTTATGTAACTCTAATAAAGCGAGTCGTGTCTTTAGTCGGGTCAAAAAGAGACAAATAAAACGTCAGTATCGGATCAAGTATCAAGTATCAATATTGGTCGATACCGATACTGGTTCATCTCAAGTGATTTTCATTTTATAAAAAACTAAACTCATGGCTGCACTTCATTTTATCTCTCAGACAAGTGCAGGTCTGAACCAGAACTAAACCAGGACTAAACCAGGTCTAAACCAGGTCTGAACCAGGACTAAACCAGGTCTAAACCAGGTCTGAACCAGGAAGTCTGACTAAACCAGGACTAAACCAGGACTAAACCAGGACTAAACCAGGACTAAACTAAACCAGGACTAAACCAGGACTAAAACCAGGACTAGGACTAAACCAGGACTAAACCAGGACTAAACCAGGTCTAAACCAGGACTAAACCAGGACTAAACCAGGACTAAACCAGGTCTAAACCAGGACTAAACCAGGACTAAACCAGGACTAAACCAGGTAACCAGGACTAAACCAGGTCTAAACCAGGACTAAACCAGGACTAAACCAGGACTAAACCAGGTCTAAACCAGGACTAAAACCAGGACTAAACCAGGACTAAACCAGGTCTAAACCAGGTCTAAACCAGGACTAAACCAGGACTAAACCAGGTCTAAACCAGGTCTAAACCGGGTCTGAACCAGGACTAAACCAGGGTCTAAACCAGGCTAAACCAGGTCTAAACCAGGTCTAAACCAGGACTAAACCAGGACTAAACCAGGACTAAACCAGGACTAAACTAAACCAGGACTAAAACCAGGTCTAAACCAGGAGGACTAAACCAGGACTAAACCAGGACTAAACCAGGACTAAACCAGGACTAAAACCAGGACTAAACCAGGACTAAACCAGGTCTAAACCAGGACTAAACCAGGTCTAAACCAGGACTAAACCAGGTCTAAACCAGGTCTAAACCAGGTCTAAACCAGGTCTAAACCAGGACTAAACCAGGTCTAAACCAGGACTAAACCAGGTCTAAACCAGGTCTAAACTAGAACCAGGTCCTCTAAACCAGGTCTAAACCAGGACTAAACTAACTAAACCAGGGAGGTCTAAACCAGGTCTAAACCAGGACTAAACCAGGTCTAAAACCAGGGTCTAAACCAGGTCTAAACCAGGTCTGAACCAGGTCTAAACCAGGTCTCTAAACCAGGTCTAAACCAGGTCTAAAACCAGGTCTAAAGGTCTAACCAGGTCTAGGTCTAAACCAGGTCTAAAACAGGTCTAAACCAGGTCTAAACCAGGTCTAAAACAGGTCTAAAACAGGTCTAAACCAGGACTAAACCAGGTCTAAACCAGGACTAAACCAGGACTAAACCAAGTCTGAACCTAGACTTTATAAATCCCCTCCTCAGGATTCAGTTCTGTTTTGTTTTTTGGTATTTCGTGTGTAAATAAATTCCTGATGTGGGATTCTGCTGCAGCTTTATTCCCTGTGACCTACTTCAACATGGCGAGGAACGACGGCGGCTCCACGTCCGGGATCCGGATCTCGTCCTGGTCTTCTGCCAGTTCTCCGTAGAACATGGCATGGAACACAGAGCTGCCCACAGCCAGAACATACTGAAACAAACACGCAGACATCAGGCCTGGGTTAGTCCTGGTTTAGACCCGGTCCAGTCCCGGATTAGTCCCGGATTAGTCCCAGTCCAGTCCTGGTTTAGTCCCGGATTAGTCCCAGTCCAGTCCTGGTTTAGTCCAGTCCGGTTTCCAGTCCAGTCCAGTCCGGATTAGTCCCGGATTAGTCCCAGTCCAGTCCTGGTTTAGTCCAGTGGTTTAGTCAGTCCAGTCCCGGTTTAGTGTCCAGATTTAGTCCCAGTCCAGTCCAGTCCCGGATTAGTCCCGGTCCAGTCCTGATTTAGTCCCGGTCCAGTCCCGGATTAGTCCCAGTCCAGTCCTGGTTTAGTCCCGGATTAGTCCCAGTCCAGTCCTGGTTTAGTCCCGGTCCAGTCCCGGATTAGTCCCAGTCCAGTCCTGGTTTAGTCCCGGTCCAGTCCCAGTCCCCCCAGTCCCGAGTCCTGATTTAGTCCCGGTCCCAGTCCCCCAGTCCAGTCCTGATTTAGTCCCGGTCCAGTCCCGTCCAGGATTAGTCCCTGGTTTAGTCCCAGTCCAGTCCTGGTTTAGTCCCGGATTAGTCCCAGTCCAGTCCTGGTTTAGTCCCGGATTAGTCCCAGTCCAGTCCTGATTTAGTCCTGGATTAGTCCCAGTCCAGTCCCAGTCCAGTCCCGGTCCAGTCCCGGTCCAGTACCTTGTGGCCTGGGACTCTCTGTGTTCCTCCTGGGGGTCCGACCACAAAGTGCACGTCGGCCATCATCTCATTGTTGAACATGACCGAGTTCCTGTGGGACATGTTCCGTGTTAGGGCATTAAACATTTTAAACGTATTCATTACAAACGACGACTCTCCACAGATCTGAACTGTAACACAGAACCACAACCTTCTGGATGTGCGTGAGGGCTGTTTGTGTTTGAGTGTGTGCTGTGTGTGCGACTTTTGTATTTGTGGAGCCGTGTTTGTGTTTGCGGGTGTCGCTCTTGTATTTGTGAGGACCACGTTTGTGTTTTCGAGTGTCGTGTTTGTGTTTTCGGGTGTTGCGTTTGTGTTTTCGGGTGTTGCGTTTGTGTTTTCGGGTGTTGCGTTTGTGTTTTCGGGTGTTGCGTTTGTGTTTGTGAGGACCATGTTTGTGTTTGTGAGGACCATGTTTGTATTTGTAAGGACCATGTTTGTATTTTCGGGGACCATGTTTGTATTTGAGGTGCAGTATTTCTGGGTGCTGTTTGCGGGCGCTGTTACCTCTCTCTTATGGTGGGGAAGAGGCCCTGCCAGTTGGAGCCTCCCCCGGCGGCGCCCCCTGTGGTGCCCGCTGTGGTGCCCGCGGTGCTGCCTGCACTGCTGCTGCTGCTGCTGACGCTGGGGCTCAGGTTGTGGGTGTGGGTCTGGAGGGTGGAGCTGCTCTCAGAGGGCACCAGCTTGTTGGAGCCTGGGTACAGCTCACCTGCCATCCTCCGCCCGCCACCCTCACGCCGGGGCCCTCACAGCAGGGACCCTCACGCCGGGGCCCTCAGAGCCGGGGCCCTCAGAGCAGGGGCCCTCACAGCAGGGGCCCTCAGAGCAGGGGCCCTCACAGCAGGGGCCCTCACAGCAGGGGCCCTCAGAGCAGGGGCCCTCACAGCAGGGGCCCTCACAGCAGGGGCCCTCAGAGCAGGGGCCCTCAGAGCAGGGGCCAGGGGCACATGGCTCCAGAGGTCCAAGACTCACAGCGCTGAAGAATAGAGAGACAACATTTAACTTTTATTAAACCAGAACTAAACCAGGTCTAAACCAGGTCTAAACCAGTTCTAAACCAGGACTAAACCAGGTCTAAACCAGGTCTAAACCAGAACTAAACCAGGACTAAACCAGGTCTAAACCAGGACTAAACCAGGACTAAATCAGGATTAAACCAGGTCTAAACTAGGACTAAACCAGGTCTAAACCAGGTCTAAACCAGGACTAAACCAGGACTAAACTAGGACTAAACCAGGACTAAACCAGGTCTAAACCAGAACTAAACCAGGACTAAACCAGGTCTAAACCAGGACTAAACCGGGACTAAACCAGGTCTGAACCGGGTCTGAACCAGGACTAAACCAGGTCTAAACCAGGTCTGAACCAGGTCTAAACCAGGTCTAAACCAGGTCTAACCAGGACTAAACCAGGACTAAACCAGGACTAAACCAGGTCTAAACCAGGACTAAACCAGGTCTAAACCAGGACTAAACCAGGACTAAACAGGTCTAAACCAGGACTAAACCAGGACTAAACCAGGTCTAAACTAGGACTAAACCAGGTCTAAACCAGGACTAAACCAGGTCTAAAACAGGTCTAAAACAGGTCTAAACCAGGACTAAACCAGGTCTAAACAGGACTAAACCAGGTCTAAACCAGGTCTAAACCAGGTCTAAACCAGGACTAAACCAGGTCTAAACCAGGACTAAACCAGGTCTAAACCAGGTCTAAACCAGGTCTAAACAAGTTCTAAATCAGGACTAAATCAGGTCTAAACCAGGTCTAAACCAGGATTAAAACCAGGATTAAAACCAGGACTAAACCAGGCCTTAAATCACACTGGATTGTCTAAAGAACGAGTGTTTTTAATGATCATCGTAGGACCAGAATCGGTATCAGGATCAGTATCAGTATCAGTATCAGTTTAAATGTCAGTGTCATGACAACACCACAGGAGTGTTTCTTCGTTTACACACACTCCACAAACGTGACCACGATCTGACATGGAACCTTCTCATCTGATGTGTCCGACCACATTTAGTCACTTTATTAATCTGATCTTTAATCTTCCTCGTTGATTCGCACTTTCACTTGTGTCTCTTCATTTAAAAACGCTCCGGTGCAACATTTACTGAACCTTTGGAACTGTTTTTGATCTTAACGATGAATGTTGTTGTTAATCGTGTTGTATTTTGAGACGATATTTGAACTCTGCCTTAGTTTTTGTTCAAATTTGACTTGATCTGTGTGTGTTGATTTTGTTTGTTTTTTTGTTCTGAGTTTCTGTCCTTGTGTCTTTGTCGTTGTGACGATGAAAACCCTGAAAAACGAGACTCTCAAGAGGCTTAATCCTCCAAACAATATAAAAGTGAACGTAAAGGCGCTGTCGTCCGTCGAGCTCCCGCGGGTCCTGCAGGGCGCGGTCGGCTCCGGTCAGGCTCATTGTACCGAGTTTCCTTCTTGGCACAGCTGCGGTTTGACTTTATGATCCCTGAAATGCGTTTTCTTTTTGCGTTATTCCGTTGTTCCGCTGCTGTGCGACGGAAACGGACGCCACGATATGAAAACACAGAAACACAGATTCTCGCGAAGTTTGTGCATCTTTAGTGGAGTCCACACGTCCCTGTTTCCTCGGGACAGTCCCAGTCCCAACAGATTTATACCAAAAAAAAAACAAAACACTGATTTGTCTCAGTTTTATACAAGAAACGTCCCAGGTGTCTCTATTTTGGACCAATCTGATCCTGGAACAGTCATTTGTTTTGGTAAAATTGAGAAACTCTGCTTAAAAAAACACCAAAACACAAAGAAAATGTGATTGTCCTGACTCACGTTCGTCACGGCCTCTGCAGAACAGTTTTCTTTAATTCCGCGCTCGTTTGACAATTTTATTATCACCACAAACCAAACAAACGAAGGGAAATGTCTCTGTTGTGTCTGTTTTTAAAAATACCCGTGTACGTGTAAACGGGGCCTAAATGACAAAGGAATAAACACTAACCACCTGATTTCAGTGGCTACAGACGGAGCAGCGAGTCTGAGAGGGTCACAGAGGGTTTGTGTATCATGAATGTTCATTTTGTATTTGTACTGAATCATTTTAATAGTCGGTTTATACAGTTAATATACTGACAGCCTGTGTTGTCTTCATATTAGGCTTTTCATTTTTTGCGGCTCCAGGCAGGTCTGGTTTTTGGTTTTTTGGGCCAATATGGCTCTTTGAACATTTTGGGTGTCCGACCCCTGATCGAGAGTGTTTATGGTTTATATGTTCTAAAGTTGAGTTTATTTATTCAAAAGATTTTAATGAAGAATCCGCTGGAGTAGAAATTGTACAATCGTGTTTGGAAACGTTCGGTTTGATGTTCAGCGGATTTATTTACCGCTCGTTAGAACCTCCCGAGCTTCCGACGCTAAAGGAGCTCACGGGTGTTTGTATTTCTCCTGCTATATTAAATATATAAACTTTTGCGCTTGTGCATTTGTAAGATGACGTCAAGAAACCGGGACACTGCATTTGCTCATGTCCTCGGGGATATGAGATTCCGGGTTTCTCAGCGCGCCAGGAAACAGCAGATCCGGAACACTGGCAGAACCGGGACACTGTGTTCATGGGGTGGGGGTGGGGTGTGTGTGTGTTAAAGTATCGGTATCGGTACTCACTCAGTATCGGCAAGAACACAAATAATCATACTTGTACTCGTGCCGGTTTTTAAAAAAGTGCTATCGGTGCATCGTTACATTCCAGAGACAGAACAGTGACCGATCCACGGAGAAAAGTATCCGATGGGCCCCTCCACCGGAAAAAGTTCCACAATGCACCTTTAACTACACTCACATTAACTTGTGTACGAGTCCAGACCTGGTCCTGGTCCCTGGTCCAGTCCAGGTTCAGTTCTACACGCGGGGAACTTGGGATCGGGTCTGAAATTTACGATAAAACTAAAAAAATAAAAAATAAAAAAAGCCGAAAAGATGTTATTGTTGCTAAAGCTAAATGCTAAGAGTCGAATCCTCGAATCCAAAACGTGTCACGATTTACGCCAAAATGTATAATAAATGTGAATATAAAATCCCGACGTGACGCACAAAGACTAAACTCGTGTTGCACAAAACAAACAAACAAACAAACAACATGACACGTTTAAAGTTGAACCACAGGTAAATGTTCACGGTAACAAGCTAATGCTAATGCTAATGCTAATTCTAACGCTATTCCTATGGGTGTTGCTAATGCTAATGCTAATGCTAATGCTAAAGCTCTTTTGTTTTGGTTCGGCTCTCGGGTCAAACTCACCGCTCGGTTCGGTTCGGTTCCGGCGCCGGACTAAAGCCCCGGCGGTGGGCTCACGTTTTCTCCCGTGAAAAGCGTCCGTTTCGGGGCTGCGCGGGGCTCGGGGCGCTCTCCCCTGGTTCTCCCCTGGTTCTCTCCGGGGCTCGGCTCTGGGTCTGTCCGGTGAACACGCCTCCAGCGCCGCGTGCGGGAGGCGCCGCGGCCCGGGGACGAACTCACGGTGCGCACGGTTTAAACGGTTTATTTATTTATCACAGGTGGAACATGTTAAAGTACAATAAAGTACAAGTAAAGTAGTAAAGTACAAGTGTTAAAGTAGCATTTTTCCTTTTTCGGTTTCTTTTTTTTTTTTCCTTTTTTTTTTTATGTGTAAACAAATGTAGAAATGTTATGTGCACACTTTTTTACTCTTTTTTTTACTCTTTTTTCATTTTTACGCACAGAAAACATCACTTAACAAACAAACTAACAAAAACAAATCAGTCACATCTTGAGGAAATACGAGCAAGGTCATACAATAAAATAATAATAGAACGAAAATAAATATACTACTACCACTATTAATAAAAAAATAAAATAATAATAATGATAATATATTTTAATAATATAGCAATAATATATAATAATAATGTTATTAATATATTGTATTATTATTATTATTATTTATAATAATAATAATAATAACAACAATAATACATATTTAAAAAAAATTAAAAAGTCAATAAATGGTTGACACTTAAAAAAAAAAGTGTTTATGTGACACTTTTTAATCATCTCTACTTTCAAAATGGACAGAACTTCATTATTCCATCTTTTTACCTGTAGCTGTACTTTTTACTTTTATTACACTGCGTTTGAGGCGAGGTATCTGTGCTTTCTACTCAACTACATTTTTTACCAGAACTGAAGAGTAAAAAGTACTTTTCAAATGATTGTGGACGATATTTACCATGTTTATTCAAGCTTCGACTTTGAGCAAACAAAAAAAAAAATACACAAAATTCAAGAGAAAAATTCAGAAATTGCTTAGTCGCTACAAATATATATAAATATAATTTTAATCAGTATCACTACATTTTAACAAATTAAACACATGAGTGAAATACTTTTACTTTACTTTTAAAGTACATTTTTAAACAGGTACTTGTACTTAAGTAGATTTTTTTCAAGTGATACTTTTACTGTTGTATCTGTACTTTTACTTAAGTAACAAAGCTGATAATAAAATAAATATAAACCTTAAAGAGTTTCAGACAGAGTCCAGACTGAACCTTTGTCAGCAACAGTAAACGTTTATTTACACAAAAGTGCGCGTGTACAAATGTACTTTATGTATTTGAAATATGCCTCTTTATCTAAAACTAAAGCACATTATTCAAAATAAAAACACGTTTTACCGACAGCTGCCGTCAAAAACACTCGACCCAGAGTCACTCGTCCAAATCAAACGTTTGGCACAAAAAACAGGAAGAGCGAGAAAGTCCAGAGTCCAACTTTAAAAAACCAAAAAAAAACAAAAATATAAAAATAAAAGTCAAGATTCAGTTCAATAAAATCAAAAACCAAAACATCACGACCAGAACAGAAACTCAAACCAGGACTAAACCAGGACTAAACCAGGACTAAACCAGGACTAAACCAGGACTAAACCAGGACTGAACCAGGACTAAACCAGGACTGAACCAGGACTAACCAGGACTAAACCAGGACTGAACCAGGACTAAACCAGGACTAGACCAGGACTAGGAACCAGGACTAAACCAGGACTGAACCAGGACTAAACCAGGTCTAAACCAGGTCTAAACCAGGACTAAACCAGGACTAAACCAGGTCTAAACCAGGACTTTGGACAGACCAGTCCTGTGTGAGCTGGCGCTGGTTCTTTTTTCATTTCCTTGTGACACTTTGAGTTTTTAAAATACCAAATCTCTGTTGACGGACAAACCCCGGCGTCTGTGGGAGGTCGTGATGTTTCAGTCCGAGTCCGAGTCCGAGTCCGAGTCCGAGTCGCTCAAATTCAAATTAAAAACTCGACGTAAACGAAACCGACTGCACAGGAAGTGACATGGTGCTCGGGCGCACACACCGTATGTTCACTTTTTACACTTTGACACGAATAAAGTGCTTTTCAAACGACGCTCCACCGCATCTGACCCCTGACCCCCGTGACCTCTGACCCCCCGTGACCCCTGACCCCCCCGTGACCCCTGACCCCCGTGACCCCTCCCCCCCCCGTGACCCCTGGCGGATGATCCAAGTTTGTGATGAGGAAACGACATTGTCACAGAGTCCAGAAAACGTCCCACTCGTCCCTTTAGACTCAGAGCTTTTTTGTTTTATTCGTGTTTTTCCAAACGTTCCGCCCTCCTCCTCAAACTCCCCTTCAGTCGTTCTCCAGTTACGGCCCGTGGAAATTTTGGGGAATTGCAAACTTTTTCAGAAACTTTAATTTATGAACATTTTTGAGAGATCAGAATTTAAATAGAAAATTAAAAATAGAGAAAATCCGAGTGTCGTTCGTTCAGTCGTTTTTCAAAATAAAAACATTATTTGTCTCCAAAACCAAAATGAAAAAACAGACAACGGACTGAACCAGGTCTAAACCAGGTCTAAACCAGGTCTAAACCAGGTCTAAACCAAGTCTAAACCAGGACTGAACCAGGACTGAACCAGGACTAAACCAGGACTGAACCAGGACTGAACCAGGACTAAACCAGGACTGAACCAGGACTGAACCAGGACTAAACCAGGACAAGGACTGACTAAACCAGGACTAAACCAGGACTGAACCAGGTCTAAACCAGGACTAAACTAAACAGGACTGAACCAGGTCTGACTAAACCAGGACTAAACCAGGACTAAACCAGGACTAAACCAGGACTGAACCAGGACTAAACCAGGACTGAACCAGGACTAAACCAGGACTGAACCAGGAGATGCGCCCGCGTAGATGTCAGGTGATCAGGACTGAGACTGGGACCAGACTGGGACTGAGACCAGGACTGAGACTGGTTTAGACCTGGTTCAGACCCAGTTCAGTCCTGGTCAGTTTTTTCCCTTTGGTTTTAGAAACAAATAATCAAGGGGAAAAAAAATATATATATATATATATATATATATATATATATATTATTATTATTTTTGGTTTTATTTTTTGTGTGGATTCTGGGTCAT